AAAAAAAAAAAAAAAAAAAAAAAGAAGTAGGATCTAATCACAAAAAGAAGGGGGAAAAAAAGGTTTAGAAAATCTTTGCACCTTCTCTGTAAAATGATTCCAAAGTAAGTTAAGTGCCCCACTCTTTTTTGGAAGGAGTAACTATGCTAAAATTACTTTTTAAGTTTAAAATGGTTAGGGAAGCTGAAAGTTACTTAAACAATGTAACATAACAGTTGACTATTTTATCAGACCTCTGGTATTCTGATATTTTGTATGGCATGCTGAGTGATGTTGTTGTCTCCTTTCACTTATTTCCTTAACTCAAATTCTCAGATTTATCTTTACATTTATCACATTTCGAGAACATGTATTCAAACCTCCTGGCTTGACTACTTAGATATGTTCATTTAAAATACATGTATTAATTGCTTATGATTACACAAAGTATGGAATTGGTGGGTAACAAAATCACACACACAAAAAAAGAAAAACACACAAATATTTATACAGCATTTGCAATAAATGCTTTCGCAGCCAGCTATTCAGAGTTAAAAATCAGCATTAATAAATCATGTTGGTGGTGTTTCCTTGATGGGATGTGTTGAAAATAGCACTTTTCTTTTTTAGTCTTATTTCTAACAGCTTATAACTAGTCTAATGTGAAAAATATCAGGCAGGTCCCATTTAAAGGAATTCTACAACTAACCTGACCAGTATACCACAAAACTGTCAAAGCCATCAAAAACAAGGCAAGCCTCATCTGGGTGTGGTGGCACACACCTGAGGTTAGCACTCGGGAGGCTGAGGCAGGAGGATCACTGTGAGTTCAAGACCAGCCTGGGCTACATAGTGAGTTCCAGGGCAGTCTGAACTGTATAGTGAGACCCTGTCTCAAAAGAAAAAAAAAAGGCAAATCTGAAAAACTTACCAAAGAAGCTTTAAGAAATGTGAAGACAATATTGTAACATGGTATCTTGAAACAGAGAAAGAAATTAGGATTTCTTTTTTTTTATTCATTAAGTTTATTGGTACATTATAGGTATACATGACGATCACATTCGTTATTGGGAACTTGTACCTATACATGATATGTCTTGGCTCTTATTTTTTCCGACAGGAATTAGGATTTCTGAGTAACAAGTAAACTTTAGTTAATAGTGAATATGCTAATATTGACTCACTAATGTGAACAAATTCCAATGTAAAACAAAAATGGAAGACAGATACAGGGTAATGAGAATTTTCAGTACTACCTTTGTCATTTTTCTGTAAATCTAAAATTGTTCTAGCCAGATGTGATGGCACATGCTTGTAATCTCAGCACTTGGGAGGCTGAGGGCAGGAAGATTGCTGTAAATTCGAGGCCAGCCTAGGCTACATACTGAGCTCAAGGCCAGCTTGAACTGACTAGATAATAAGACTTTGTCAAAAAAACAAGAAATAGGGGCTGGGAATTTAGCTCAGTGGTTCTGCTGCCTGCCTTGAGGTCCCAAGTTTGATCCCTGGTACCAAAAAAAAAAAAAAAAGAAAACACCCCAAGAAATAAAATAAAATTCTTGAGTAAAATAAGGTGTATTAATATGTTTTTGCCAGCTTGAACCTTCTGCTAGTATAAACAGATTTAATCACTAGCTTTTTACTAATAAAATTAATTTAAAAAGCATCTGATAAGACAGTTATGCATGTACCACCAGTTGTTTAAGACACCTGGCAGTGAGACATACAGATTACAGCCAATCATAAACTTGTTCAACAAAATTGGCAAAAGATCCAAGTAGACTTTTCTCCAGAAAAGATGGACAAGTAGTCAATAAGCATATAAAAGTATGTTGAACATTCTCAATTGTTATGGAAATACAAATCAAAACTACATTAGGGCCAGTGGTAGCACATGCCTGTAATCCCAGCACTTGCTGGAGGATGAGGCAGGAGGATCACTGTGAGTTTGAGACCAGCCTAGGCTAAAAAATGAGTTCCAGGTCAGTCTCGACTAGTGAGACCCTGTCTCAAAAACAACAACAACAACAAAAAAACTACATTGGGGGCTGGGGATTTTTTTTCTTTCTCATTGAGTTTATTGGTACATTTTAGTTATACAGTACAGTTACATTCATTATTGGGATCTTGTACCTTTATGTGACGGGGCTGGGGATTTAGTTCAGTAGCACTTTGCCTGCCTCCCAAGTGCAAGGTCCTGAGTTCGATCTCCGGTACCCCCTCCCCAAAAATTCCTTAGGGCTACACATATGAGAAGCACTGAGTTCAGTCTCCAACCCTTCACTAAGTAAACAGATATTAGAGGAAGGGAATAGATGGGGAAAAGGGAGATGTTGATCAAAGGGTTAAAAGTTTCAATTAGATAAGAGCATCAAGCTTTAGCGATTTGTTGTGCAGACTTTCAGAACTGTTTCAGAAAGTGTCAAAAACAAGTGTGTTTTAAGCAAGAGAGTATTCTGAGGGAGATTAAGGTCAGTATGTCTTTTAATTAATTTCTTTTTTAGAAAATCTCAACATTCACTCTTCCAGTCACACTTTATAATTTTTTCCTAGTTTATTATTTTTTTAAGCAAAATACTTATTGGTACATTTTAGATATTCATACTGATGATATTCATCATAGAGAATTTATACCTGTACATGGTGTGTCTTGCTTCTTCATTTTTTCCCATTTCCCTCCCCTCACTTCAGTCTGCCTCTTCATTTACAAAAAGCTTTGTTTCCATTTTTCCTTATATTCTCTTTTTCTGTCATCCCTTCTTTCCTTTCCTCCTTCTCTCTCTCTTGTTCCCCTTTTCATTTAAACATCCTCTTCCCATTTCCCAATATCTATAATACATTTTGGTCCATATTTCCAGTTTCGGTTTCTCGCACCAGGAAAACAATTCAGTATTTAACGTGTGTCCAATTTATCTCACTTAAGAGTGTGATCTCAAACTGCATCCATTTAGCTAGAAATGTCTCCAGTTCATTCTTCTTTATGGCAGAGGGTATTAAAAAAAACCCACATCATCTTTGTCCATTCATTGGTTGATGGGCATTTGGGATGTTTACAGGATTAGCTATTATAAACTATGCCTCTGTAAACATGGGTGTGCATATATCGCTGTGGTTTGATGCTTTTAATTCTTTTGGGAAGATATCACAAGGGGACTAGCTGGGTCAGCTGGAACCTTTACTATTAGTTTTTGAGTAATTTCCACAGTGGTTACACCAGTCTACACTCCACCAGCAGTGGAGAAGGGTTCCTTTTTCCCAGCAGCCCCACCAGCATTTATTATTGGTTTATTTCTTGGTAACAGCCATTCTTTCTGGAGTGAGATGGAACCTCAGTGTTGTTTTAATTTGCACCTTTCAAATGACCAGTGATGTCGAGCACTTTTTCATATATTCATTTGTCATTTCTAGTACTTCATCTGAGAAGTGTCTATTCAATGATTTGAGAAAAATCCCTCCTTTGGCCTGGCAAGTGCACACTTGCCCCATTTTACAAATGCTTGGGGCAGTCCAAGTATCCTTAGAGCTGAGTTTATACATTACCTCTGGGAAGCACTCTAGAGCAGATACAGATTTTTAAAAAATAGAGGAGGTTAGGAAAATGATGAAAACCATGAAAGTCCAACATAGAGAAGAAATGGAATCTGTGAAACAGATTCAAACAGATATCCAAGAGATTAAAAATTCCATTAGTATATGCCGAATGTAAGGACAGAATATTAGATATAGAAGACAGGATTGTAGTTAGTGATCATGAGAAAGATTTCTTTAAAATAGCAAGGGACCACACCAAAAAAATAATCCAACAGCTGCTAGATGATGCAAAGAAGAATAACAAGACTAGCATCAATGAAAAAGCAGGAGATAGTGCAAATGACATAAAAAGCCTCTTCACAGAAATATTGGTAGAAAACTTTCTAAGCAGGGAAAAAGAATTTGACATACAGATAAGTGAGCTATTTAGAACTCGCATTAGCCATAATAATAATTTTAAAAAACCCTACACCAAGGCATATAAGAGTCAAGATTTCAGAAATTCAACAAAAGAACAGAATATTAAAAGCCTTGCATGCACAAGGACCAGAGTTTGATCCCCGGTACCAAAAAAAAAAACAGCTATTAGTAAAAAGAAACAAATCATCTACTAAGGAAAGTCTGTCAGAATAACAGCAGACTTCTGAACACAACCCTTAAGTCAAGGAGAGCTTGGAGTGAAATACTTCAAGCCCTGAAAGAAGACAACCTCTAGCCCAGATTGATATACCCTGCAAAGCGATAATTAATGAAGAAATAAGATACTTCCATGATAAAGAACACTTGAAGAAATTCATGACCACCAAACCAGCACTCCAAATTGTTCTGAAGAACATTCTAGAAAGAGATAACAAGGACTACAACTCCATGAGCCCAAAACAGAATGAACTCACTGGCAAAGCAAGCAGTTAAACGGGGAAGAAAGGGGGCCAGCAACAGGAAAATAACATGACAAGGATGAGTCAGTACATATAAGTTATAACCACCAATTACGTAGTCTTTCATTATGGTCACCATCTCTTAATTATCTGGGAAACTATTTCTGATTTTATTTTTTCTAGAGTCTCATTCATCTGCTTTGTTATTTCCGTTGTTACCAGTTCAGAGAGTCCAGGTGGGTGGGTTTAGAATTGTTCCACCTCATTTCCCCTTTGGTTTGCCTGTCATGAGGAGGAGGTTTGGGATTGCATCTTGCTTGTGTCTTCTCATTTTCTTTCTTTCTTTTTCTTTTTTTTTTTTTTTTTTAAATTTT